TAATAATAATAATAATAATAATAATAATAATTTTATTTATAGCCCGCACCTCTGTGCGGCAATCGGGCAAACGTCCAAACTTTTGGAAGAAAATATTGTAACAAATGCAGAATCAAGCATTCTAAGACTGTAAGCAACAGGTAGGGTTATCAGGTGAAATGTAAGAGTGGGCAAGGTGCAGCTTCTCCAGGGCTTTCTTTCTGGCCCTTAGAGGTAAAATATACATCATTAAAAAAAAAACTTTTTTGCTCCCGAATGCCATCTAAGACATGTGAGGATAGTTTTGCCATGTGAGCGTATTATAGAAATTATTATTATTAATAATATTTATTTACTGTATATACCCATGTATAAGTCTGGAAATTTAGGTAAAAAACATTGACCCCAAAAAAACTGAGTTGACTTATCCAAAGGTCACATCAAAATCCATCATTTTGGCCCCAAAATATGGCCTCGACTTATACACACGGTCGACTTATAGTCGAGCATATATGGTATATAGTGCCATAAATTTTCATGGCACTTTAAACTGGTCTATTTTCGCACATTCCCATCAATGTTTAATTAATTGTCTTCACTTTTCCTGCACAAATGGGCATGTATTCGCACCCATTCTCCCTCCCTTCCTCTGCCCAAAATGCACAGCCGGCCGAATCCTTGCAACGCAAATGGATGGCCACGCATTCAATAATACGCATTCTTGTGAATGCTGCGGTAAAAACTGCAAAGTTGATGGGGTTTTTTTTTGGCGGAGCGTAAGGAGTTTTTCAAATTCCTTGAATTATGTGTGGCCAGATCATATTCCAATTGAAGGGAACGAGGAGTATTTTAAGTGTGTAGACTATCCCTTTGGGGAGACTAATGCACCTCTTGGCTTCCCACGGTTGCCAAGCTTTAATTTTTGCGCAGAAGAAGAAATTTAAATCGCCATGTATTGAAATCGCCTCTTTTGCACAACCATTAAATGTAGAGCAGCCCTGTCCAGGTTTTCATTCTGGCAACCCTATACTGGGAAAAAATTGTTCCATGCATCTCGCACCTTTTGCTTGATACTACATCCATCTCAGATCCTTCTTTTGCTGCCAATTTCCAACACAGACAAAGAGGGAGTCAATTATGGACTTCATAGCATGGATTAAACACGGATTAGCTTCAAAATGGCTGAGTTGGCGTCCGTTCTCCTGGGGAAGTGGACAAGGGTAACCTGAATCCCATCTCCTCCCTAGGGAAAATTTATTTTCTATTGTGAGGATTCTCCGTGGGAAACTCAAAATTCGCTTTCCTAATGAAAAGCTATTTTTTTAAATAAATTAAAAAAAAAAAAAA